GGGAAATATAATCATCACTGTCCCATGACGTTAGCTACGTTTACACATGCTCCTTTTATTTGAAGTATTGGACACAAGGTCAACACATTGCCCTCCATAAACAAAATCATTTCAGGCCAATTGTTTTAAATGCGTTCGCCGATAGCTGCTCGCGTTGATAATTATTTGGTCGGTTTATTATTCATTTAAGATAGAGATGCAGGTTCGTGGGCACTTGCGAGTGATTTTTTGGTTTTTGCTTTTTATTATCCAAACATTCTTGGCCATAGACTGTTAAAATTTTGTAGAATTGTGAATAGTGGAACATGCTTAGAAAACCGATTTTAAAATATAGATAACAGGCGAAAACATTCTCTCCTTTGAATGGTTAGCAAGATTTAGCAAGGCTGTACATAAATAATACAAAAAGAAACGTGGGAAAAAAACGAAATGACATGATCTCCATATTATGCACTATATTTAATTTTCAACAAAACAATAATACATTTAAATTTGGAACTGTTACAGCCATTTTAATTATGAGCATTAGAAAACTTCTTACTGAGTGAATTGTTATGCAAATTAGCAATTATCTCAGCTTCCTTTTAGTGCTCCTAGACGCTTTGACCTTTTCACAAATGATTGACAATGTGTTATCTTCAAAACGTCGTCTGGGCATTGTTTTTGATTGAACAGTGTTACAACAATCGTACAGACAACTAGCCTGGGTTTTAATTTATGCATAAACTTGAAGTAGTGAAATTTGAGCTGCTTCCCTGCAAAATTGACAACTGGTAGACAGTTTTCAAAACGGCACTTTATTCATAGTAAACAGATGTACCCGTAAACCAATTTTGACAGGAAACAGAAGCTTGGTTTAGAAGCTAACTTTTTAAAGTCACTTTTGACCAAAAAAGCACACTTTTGTGCACATTTCAAACTACAGTGTCCATAAAAATATTAACAACATTTTAAAATTCATACAATAAGTTTTCCGAAAATATATAGTTTTGTGGACAAGGGAGGTCATCTTGGTTTCCTAATTAAAATTAATTAAAATACCTGTCAGGTAAACTGCATCTCTACCTTAAACCAACGCTAATGTTATTGTTCAAATTAAGAAGATTTATATCTTTTTTTTCCCGGAAGACCATCCACAGCCGTATAAGAAAGTAGA